TTACCGAGCCTCTAAACAAAGACAATTTTACTAAGACTGACAAAACAAATAAAGAACGGTAGAAAATAATCGCAAAAAATGGTAGTTAGATGTTTAAATATGTTGAAAAACTGTTTTTTGTTTTTACTAAAAGATATTGACAGCATGATCGAAACAGTAGCCTATTTGACTAGACATAAATATTTGGCAACAACGTAATGTTGCCGCCGCACATCTTAAGATTCGACGTAACTTTTATAAGATCGTTTGTTTCGCTTTCTAAGTTTTATTATGTTCATCGTAAGTAGTCGTAACTGTTATCATGGTAGTAAGGTGCTCGATAGTTACTTTCGGTGTGAGTGTATCAAAACTTGTTTTAATAGATGCCGGTGACTTTAAACTTAAACGCAAACGTGGGTCCAAGTATCGTTCACAACCATAAGCGTCCAAAACTTTTTTAACTTTTTTTGTTAGTGTTGATTGGTAGACACCTGGTGTTAAATGGTTATTTGAGCTTCACAGACGTCACGACGTGCCTGGCACAAACTTTCAATAATGAGGTCGGCCTCAATGATATTGTATAACGCTCTATTACTGGTGGTAGGACCTCTTGTAAGTCCGCGCGCGTAGGTACAACCACCCTGCCTATTTCTATCGTGAAGCAGTAATGCGTTTCGGTTTGAAGGGAGGGGCAGCCGTTGTAACTATATTTGACACCTTAGAACTTATATCTCAAGGTGGGTGGCGCATTTACGTCGTAGATGTCTATGGGCTCTAGTAACCACTTAACACCAGATGGGCTGTGAGTTCGTCCACCCACCTAAGCAATAAAAAAATAAAAAAACTTTTTTGTATCGAAAGAATCACCGCTTGGCGTCAGAAATAGGCAGGATAGTGATACCCACTTGTCCGGCCTCACAAGACCCTAACATTAGTAATTAGGCAATTTCGTAATTTTGCAGGATTCGTTTTGTAGGTACATATTTAAAAATCGAGAACTTCGATCCGAAAATAGTATTTAAGTATGCTCGATACGAGTCTTCCGGACTTATTTTTCTTTATGCCACGAACGCTTAAAACCTTCTTTGAATACCTACATAGATACTCAAAATACTCAACTAGTTTATAATTTAAGTAGGTGTTGAGATAATTTTAATCAATAAATTAGATACAGCTACCGTGTTTAGTCTGTTGAGACGACCGTACTGTGAACTAACCGCTATATTAATAACGTACGTGGAATTACGAGCTTCGCACATTCTTTATATTGAACCTATTAACCGCAATGAAGTGTACATTGGTCATGCCCTGTTAGAACAAGGTGAACATGTTCCAGTTAGTTTTTATGAATAAAATTATTAAAGAAAAACAAAGAATCACCAAATCGTTCAGCTTTAATTGAATGAAGGTCTTTGTTCCAGTTGTGTGTGTGTATCTATCTATATATATAAAAATGAATTGCTGTTCGTTAGTCTCGCTAAAACTCGAGAACGGCTGGACCGATTCGGCTCATTTTAGTCTTTGATTATTTGTGGAAGTCCAGGGAAGGTTTAAAAGGTAGATAAATATGAAAATGCTCGGAATTAAATAAAAATAACAATTTTGTTTTCCCTTTAATGTGTTCCCCGTCGGACGGATTCCTTTTGTTTGTTTTAAGTTTATTTTATACAAAAGTTTAGGTCTTTTATTTATCGATTGAGGCACTACGAAGTCTGCCGGGTTAGCTAGTTTTATTTATATCAACTGACTTAGATGTACCACGCTTTGAAATGGTTTTAAGTGAAATAATAACAGAATTTAATAATTTTTTTGTAACGCATCTCACATTTCCAATTTTTAGTTCAATGAAATTATACGGTATTTTTTACTTTAAATTATATTTGTACTTTAAATGTGTTTTTTTATGAGTCGTCAAGGACAGATGCCACCAAATTAATCAATTATGTTGCGAAAGTTTTGACAACCACTAAACAATACAATGTCTGTGCTTAGTGTAAGTTATTAATGTTCTCGATAACATAAAAGTTAACTCAAATATGTATGCAGTGGGAACAGCGCCCCTAGCGGCTAACTTAGGCAAAATTTCCAACTCCATACAAATTTGAGTTAACTTTTACACTATTGAGAAGGTTAAACAACTCACACTAAGCCCACTAATGTCTTAAGGTGGGTGGATGGCATCCGCTTAACTAAAGTTATAGGATTCGGTAACCCGTTAACATCATATGGGCCGTGAGCTCGTCCCTTCATCTAAAACAATAAAATAAGTGAAAAATATAACTGAAGTTTAATTTTGTTTCAATATATGCATTATTCATAGTTTCATTGTTTGCCTGACTAAACTACATAGATACGTAACAGAAAACAATTCAGATATGAAAGACGATGACTTTACAAACAATATACACTAGCGTAGGAGCGCTGTTATGCGGTAGTAATCAGCCGTGGTGACAGCTGTCTATAACTCAATAGCATAATTAAAGCCATCATATCAACAAAAGTGGTCTAAAATAAAAATATAAACGTTCTGATTTAATACTTTAAGGTACAGCACTTAATTTAGAATATCTAAATGTTAGTAAAAGTTTTGGCAGGATGATTTCCTACTTTTTAATTAATATTATTAACCCTACTTTTTATTACTTACTAGCTGACCCGGCAGACTTCGTACTGCCTCAATCGATAAATAAAAGACACATCAAGGGGACACATCAAAGGAAAAACAAAATTGTTTGTTTTTATATAATTCCGAGCTTTTTTTATATATTCTCACCTTTTAAACCTTCCCTGGACTTCCACGAATAATTCAAGACCAAAATTAGCCAAATCGGTCCAGCCGTTCTCGAGTTTTAGCGATACTAACGAACAGCAATTAATTTTTATATATAGAGATTATTACCCCTACTTTTTACTTTTTAATTAATATTATTGAGACAAATCAACCATGCTGTTTGTTTATGTTCGTTAATAGTGTCGTTACTTTTCTATTATGTATATGCCTGTTATTTTTAGCGTATTAAAAGAAAGGAACTTAATCTCGAGCAACAACTTAAATGAAAACCACATGCTTTGTATTGAACAAAGAAACGACATTGAACTTTACAAAATATGATACCTCGACATGTCAAGACAGTACAATGATGAAGTGAGTCGAGACGATCCGACGAACTTTGAATTGGAATCCAAACTATTGGCATAATAATAGGTTACGAAATATAAACCTGCCTACACATAGATCAAGGACTCGGTTTGTGTTCGATGGTACAATGAAAACGATTAGATCGATCGCAGGGTTTGCGTGTAATTACGTAGGGCGGTGTTCTCTATGTGCAAATTTTCATTGTTCTAACACACTTGTTCTGGGCTTACATTAACATAAAATATTTATGACACAATTTAGAAATACCCCCACATGAATTGGTACTAGGCACGGAATAGATAAATAAGGTTATAATTATTAAGGTACCTTATTTATCTATTCCGTGGTACTAGGTAAATATGTAGTTTCATTTCTGAAATTGTCATCCAAGTCTTTGTATGACATTAATAGAAAAGTATTTCAGCGATGCGCCGGAAATAATATTATAATACAAGGAAGGATTGAATATTTCTCAATAAATCATTTGAAATGCCGAATGCATTAAATAGCGTATCGTCTATCGGAAAATGATTGCTCAAACTCGTATCGAGCACTGATGGGTAGATCGTTCTCTCTTGGCTATCTGCCATGTTTAATCAATTTACATTCGGAACTTAATAACAATGTCGAAGTTTTGCAACGTATGAAACGTGAATTACAATGTTCGCTGTCTTACTGCCAGTAATGGACCTTAAAAAGGAATACGACACAGTGACGAAACTTTTTATCTGCATATTGTTTCGTCGAATCAAAAAGGATATCGCATTGAAATAATTTCGATATAAATTTGAAGGTTTAAGACATTCTGACAAGAGATTTTTATTACAGAGACCTTACATTCAAAACTCCACGTAACAATAATGTTTCCAAAATATTTGTTAATTGCATTAGTTCTTATTCGATACATGTATTGTCGTATTTACTACCTTTCAATGAACTTTACAAATCCCTTCCGAATTTATTAAGAATCAATTCGTCGTATATCATCGATTAGAAGATAATGATTGCATAACGTGTTCTCCACACGGTTACACAACTGCAGACAATTTACTCTCGATTCGAGCCGGCCGCCAGATCGTGCACGCGTTTTACTGAGAATATTCCCGCGCAAACGAGTAAAAAACCGCGGGAACTGCATTGAAACAATATAGCCGACATAACGCTACGAATGTTATCTGTCTAGAACTTGCTGTTTGCGACATTGCGAACATTCCCATTGTTTATTTCGAAGTAGATCGCTGGAAATTATTGTGATTACACAGACAAGACTGCTGAGGTGAAACTTTAAAAGGACATTACGAACAAGGATATATTATTAAACCAACATACGAAGTAAAATTTTACTCTTGCTTTTACTTATTAAGATGATATAACACAATGCTCTTTTTTTTCAATGATAAGTCACTCTCTCTGTCTCTTCGATCGGTTCCTCACTGCTGAGGATCGTGACTCCGTCCGATTTCGTCAACCAACTGTCTCCATCGATCCCGCCCTGAAGCCCGGTGGAGTGCGTCGCTGATAGGCATCCCCAGTTTCTCCGCTATTTGGTCCGACCATCGTTTGGGACCTCTACCCCTAGGCCTTTTTCCCTCTATTTTACCGGTCACCACAAGGCGTTCCAAATTGCTGGTATCCCTACGTGCAACATGACCAAAATACCGCAATATTCTTTGTAGGCAGATTGTGGATAGATTCAATGATAAGTCACACATTTCTATAAACAGTACATTCTTAATAACACGAAAACAATCATCTGCGTGTTTTGTATTCAGTAAGCGCATATTTTCACACCTGCGGATTTCCATTGCATCATAAACAAAACAAAAAATAAACAAACATCAACAAACAATCGCATTTGCAATATCTGCCGTCATAATTCCAGTTTAACAGTCGCAGCTCACGGACCTGTTCACACCGAATCGTAATTTCTAGAAAACGAATGCATGGAGATTAAACGTGGTTACAAAATGTCTGTGCTAATCGAGATTCATTCAAGAGCATCCGTCTTACTAAGTAACTAAAACAAACATTTCAAAATGGTGAATGGCAACTACGTATTGTATGGGGATAAGCCGTCCTCGGAGTCGGAAATCGTGGATGACCACGTGCATAAACGCACCGTCGACAGAAAAACTAAGCGAAGATCGAGAACAGCTAATGAACTCCAACGCTCCCTTAATGTGAGGCAACTAGACAATGAAACGGATTCCGTCAAATACGAAAAGAAGATAAACGAACCAAGACTTTTACGGTACGTACCGACAACTGATGTAGAAGAAAATTATGTGACAGAAAAATTCGAAACCTATGATTTGAAGCCGACCGAAGAACGACCAAGGAAATACGCATTTACTAAGAAACCTAAGAACCCAACGGATGGCTCTATTAATTACGCGTATTCGAGGTCAAGCAGTAGTTGCAGTTCTCCAAACGGAAATTTACCGACCATATCGGAGCACGGAGAACAGTACGGGAATTATCGAGTTCATTCTTTTTCGGGTGCCGTGATTGATGATGTCGTCACCGGTTACGAGACGAAACTTGATAAATACTTCTCCAAGCCGCGGGAAGTCAAGACATTTGCTGCTAAGGTAAGCTACAGTGTAAGTCTAATTAGTTGAATTGTCGCAATGTCACCTGATCAGAAAATTATTTGGAAAAATAAATTAAGAATGTGTTCATAATGGCTTTGTCAAAAAAGTTTTTTCTATTACAAAAGCACAGAAAGATAAAAGAGATTTTCTGTCAAGTGGAAAGTGTCACTGTTTTACAGGTTTAAGACGTTTCATTAAAAGTTGTTCGAATTAAAAAGAAAGCCATTGACTCAATTTATTCGCCTCTGGCTCATTTAAAGTAAATCTAAAGGTGTTCAAAACATGATTATACAACAGCCATAATATTTTAGTTCCAAATCATGAACAAATAATATAAGTTAAATCTCTGATTACATAAAATTTATAGCCCTGTCTAACCGAGATGGACATGAGAATAAAATTAATGAAATTGAGGCGCATAACTTTGATCTCTCAATTACATATTAAATAATCAATGATCACTCTGACCACTTAAGGTATTATAAATTAAATATCCAACTGTACATTTTGTGAAACTGTGGTTTGAATAGGTCTTAAAATGCATCTCATTTCCAAATATGCTTCGCTATTTACTGGTTCGAAATAAGCGAATTAAATTGAGCAATAATTATGAAGAACGATAACAAACCACATATGTACAAAAGCTAGTTTAATATAATGTATAGAAATGAAGAGAAAAATATGCATTTCGAAATGCTAAACCATAAAGCAATGCACAAAGTTCAAAGCATTACTTAAATTTACTATTCACTTTTCATTTTGTACTTTGAAATGACCACAATATTACGATGTCGATGCAACATACTATAGTTTATATTATCAGGTGTGTTATTATGGTGAAACTAGTCTCACGGGACCTGTTGTTTCGTTTAACTGAGGGTGTGCTAGGGCTATTAGGTCTTGTACTTACATGTTCCGGACTAGACTGATACACATGTACCCATTAATAATTTGAAATTGACAAGTACCATGTTGTGCAAGAATGACAACATACACCACAATATTTCAATCACGACACTGTACTCAGATTTGAAAAACATAGAAGAAAATGTTTTTTTGAAAATGTTTTTTTCTTAATTGCTTTGACTAGTTGAATTATATCTGCTTGTAAGTCCAATTCAATTGCATTCTTTCAATACTACATTTTTATTTTTGAAGGTTTTCTCACACACTAGTGTGCTTAGTGCGAGTTTTTTAACGTTCTCGACAGCGTAAAAGTTAAGTCAAATTTGTATGCAGTTGCGCTCCTAGCGGCAAACGTAAGCAAAAGTTCCAACTCTATACAAATTTGAGTTAACTTTTACGCTATCGAGAACGTTAAAAAATTCGCACTAAGCACACAGATAGCTAGTTTAAAATCCAAATCCTTTCACGAATACGACATAATTTTGTGAAGGAAAATAAAAAAAATCGGTATGTGGGTGTAGTTTGTTCGAAAACTGGAGCATTGTCATATTTGGAGTGTCCATAGAATAAACCCCGAAGTTGCAGTATGACCTTATTTTTTTACTGTCACTAGTCGAGTCGGTAACATAATGTATACTAGAGGTCCCGCAGTAGTCGAAATTCGACTATAATTAATTGGAATTGTAAGTTTGTACAATATTATGATTGTATTTGATACTTCTATAATCACAAATTTCGCCAAGGCTACACTATAAAAAATATTAACAAAGACAAACAATATTTATTTTAATCTATTCTCAATTTGACAACAGACGCCAAGAACAAAAGTTTTACAATAAATAGTATGCATGTGTGTGTGCGTCAAATGCATGGTATGTATTTTTTTTTATTGCTTAGATGGGTGGACGAGCTCACAGCCCACCTGGTGTTAAGTGGTTAGTGGAGCCCATAGACATCCACAACGTAAATGCGCCGCCCACCTTGAGATATAAGTTCTAAGGTCTCAAGTAAGTTACAACGGCTGCTCCACCCTTCAAACCGAAACGCATTACTGCTTCACGGCAGAAATAGGCAGGGTGGTGGTACCCACCCGCGCGGACTCACAAGAGGTCCTACCACCAGTAATAACAAGATAGATACAAAGTTTTCGCTTCACGTATTAATATATAGATTTACTAAGTCAATAGTTTAGTTTTAATAAAAGCACTATTGCATTAGCGAAGCACTTATACACATTCTTGAGAATCAGTAAAATTTCTTGCTAAATATTGATGATTGAGACGAGTCTAGTGGGGTAGCCGGATGCAACATCGATTATGCGGCATGAAATGTTGAATAATATTGAATTAAATTTTATTTAAATTTTGTGTGCAGCAATAAATTTATGTAGACAAACCTGATATAGGTTATATAGTTTAGAATATTTTCTACGGCTTTCACGACTGATTAGACTTAGTTGAAAGTAAAACTACTTTTACGTTTTAAATTTCGTCGTTTTTATGTTCATTATAATATATCTGACGTTTCCAAGTAAAGATAAAAACCCAAGTCTAACAAACTGCTTTTAAGAAAAATAGACGGTAGGCAGCAAAATATTAATAAATAAATAATAATTAGTCATCCGTGACCACGAAAACAGTAAATCTGAAAACGTTAGAAATAATATAATTAATAACAATTAAAAAAGGCAAGAGTAGACCGTAAAAGTAGTTTTGATATAGGTTGATAAAATACTATTAATGAGAATATTGTCTTGAAAAAATGGAATATAAATACATATAGAAATACTTTTGATTTTAGTTGAAAATAAAATAAGGATACACAAATATTATTATAACGATAAAATTAAGAACTTGTTTTGGTCACATCCGATTTATATAACAAAAAAAAAACCAATAAATTACAATTTCACCGAATTCCAACAAATAAAAATTGCTAGCATTCAATCTAAATATTTATACAAATAAATCTTATTATGTAATAACGTTTATGCATTTCTTCTTCTTGGTCGTTCCCTCACTAATGAGGATCGTGACCATATGCGATTTGTCTTCATTTATTTCTGTAGGTACGGTGCGAGTTTAATAGATCATTGTAGAGTTTCTGTTGATTTTACAATATTTTCACTAACGTATTAATATCTGTCCCACGGTTAACTGCTTCTCGAACTCGAACGTGCATGTTTGATCGCATTAGATTCGCACTTTTTCAAAAATAGCATCCATTTTATCCGTAATAGGGCAACCAGAGCGACGTGCATCTTTGACATCAAAATTTCCGGATTGAAAACGCATTTTTTTTTTTTTTTTTTTTTTTTCCACAGGAGAAAATNAGCCGGCGGAGGTAGAGGGGCACTCCATGCCTCTCCAGTGCCCCCCCTATCACGGTCCAGGGCAGAGTGTTAAATGCGTTGGCGATGTCAAGAGACACCGCCAGCGCCACCCCACCCCGAGAAACGGCCTCGTCCGAGAGGGACCGCACGCGAAGAATTGCATCCACGGTCGAACGGCCCTCCCGGAAGCCGTACTGCTCCGGGATTGAAAACGCTTAAACCAAATTTGTGCTACTCTCACAGCACTAGGTCCATAAACATCGAAAAAAAAAATTCGCGGCTTGCGTTGCATTTTTACCTTTTTTGTAGTAAAATTTTAAAATGTATCGAATTTCTTCATTAGATTCACTCATCTTGACTGTACGAAAAATAAATAAAAATCACACATTTTCTTAATTTGAATTTGGAATTATCTTCTGTAAAATTTAAACTTTTAATGATACCAAAACCAACCAGATACAAATAGTATAGCCAAAGAGATTTTATTACAAGTTCATACATACATTAGTGGGAAAAGATTTTTTTCTCCACCCTATTATGTCCAAAGAAGCTTATTTAAGGCAAGTCGTTGTTTGATGTGAAGCTCTTGTAAAATGGTTTCGTTTGTCATCATGACTGTCTGTTGTATCATCAGCATGCGTCTCCTGCACCATATTTCAAAAACGTTTATAGTGTGCATTTATATACCCTTATTCTTGCCTTGGCTGAACCTTAATGTGGGCTTCAGCGATTTTTTGGGCTGTAGGAGAACCGTTACCTAACCGGTAATAAAATATCTACCACTACAGCATAAAAGAAAAAAGGCAAAAAAATTCTTAGTAGGTACTTATGGTTTGATTGAGTTTAAATTTTGTGAGCCCACAACGTAATATAAAGCGAGGACAACAAGCTGACGCTGATTGCGGTTCCTCAAGGAAATTACCGCACGTCAACACTTACATATGCATAAGTTAATGGGTGGAATTAAACTTTACATCGTTTTTAAGTACATTTCGCGCTAAAGCAATAAAGCTACTACCGTCTCGAAACAAATGCTGAACTATTTTTTCTTCGCATAATATTATGAAGGTCAAAACATTTACTTCTAAAGTAAATATAAATTAATAAGTTAAATATGGAATGAATGGATTTAATCGCTGCATAATAAAATTAAAATAACCAAAATATTTTACTGGTGTAGGGATCGATGGTGTAGGGTGTTGAACGGCGGGGCAGCCGTTGCACTACAGAACTGAGAACTTAGAACTTATATCTCAAGGTGGGTGACGGTTTTAATATTGTTGACGTCTTTGGGCTCCAGTAACCAGTTAACACCAGCTGGGCCAAAAGTTCATACACCCATCCAAGCACAAAAAAAATATTATTACGTTCTTTTAGTGTCTTGTCATTAATTCCCAGCATCGCCTTTCGAGGTAACTTGGCTAACGTCTAAAAAACGGCAGTTTTAAGGTACACATGTTCTTCTTGAATCTACTATAGTTACAATGACACAAAAGCTTAGCTTGTGGTTAAGTAGGTGATTTGTATGAAAGACACGTCGTTTGACAGCGGCAAATCTTACAGATTCTTGTAATAGATTATGTAATTCTCCACGTTATAGGTCCTTTATTGCTATTTTATGACTTAATGTTTCAATACAAAAATAGATAGCATTTTAAAAAATGGGTTTATCTATTTTGTTTCTTGAAAATTTACGATATTTGAGTTTTATTTATTTTTCATACAAATATATCCTGTATTTGTGGCTTTTATATGCCAATTAGCCAATGCATTGGTATCTTGTATTAAAATATCGTTCGCATTGAAAGAATTTATCAATTAAATAAAAGATCATTGTTAAACATATATTACGCATATTTTATGTTTATTATGTTTATTACATTGTTATGCAAAAAATATGCGCATTGCACATATTTTTTACATACATTTTTTACATAAAGCACAATTACCCAATAATTACCCAATTGGATTTCACAGCCCTTACGCGGTAGTTCTAAAACGTCTAATAACATATTCTGCTGATAATTTCGACGCGTATCGCGTTACATATTTTATTCGAACTGAATTTTAAGCGACCTTTCTAAGTGGATCATGGTTTTTTCCAAGTAAACGTATTTTAAATACACAATGAAAGTGAAAGTTTTTGTTAATTTTTTACTAAAGGAACGGAGAATAACTAAGTAATAATGTTTAATAGTTTTATTTACCAAATGCAGATTTTAATGCAATTTTTGCGCCTGCTTATATAACTTCATGGATCGACTAAGACTGAGCCAATCGTACATGTTTTTTGAAAATTGTGTTATCATACAATATGTTATATGTAGTCCTTAGAATCTATAGAAATTTTAAACGAGCTTTGAAATCCATATCCATTGTCATTTGTTATTGCTAAATTGAGGTAACATATTTTTTTATTTATTTATTATCTTAGCATAGTTTTTATTATGAACAATAATCCTAACATAATATTGATTTATTATTTTACTTTGGTCTTGGATTGAATTTTGGATTAATTTTTTATTATTCTTTGGTCTGTTCTCTCATCTCTTTTTTCGGCAACATTCTTGCCTATGTATATTTATAATGCAGGACTTTTTGGCGGGAACGCGAGGAGTGAATTTGTGTGATTTGTTTTATTTTGTCTATTTAGTGTTTCTTCGGGTTTAAATGTGTAGCGGTGGTTTACTGTTTAATATCTGTGAAAGTGTACAAATGTGGGAAAATCAAACAAAGCCGCTGAATGTAACTTCTCGGGATCCTCCAAAAAGTCCACTGAAAAAGTCTCAGTAAATGACCATCATTTTACTGAGATTATATTTCATCCCATATCATCTCATCTCATTTCATTTAATTTCATCCCACTTGATTAATGTCTCAAATCTTCATTTCATTTCACTCCATATTATCATTTTTCATAAAATTAAGAATATAAATTAAAATGAGAAATGAATTAAAAGTCTTAGCTACCAAGTCATAACAACGCTTAAAAAAAAATATGCCTATTAACTGTGTTTTTACCTTTAGGCAGACAAATCTTGTACAAATTTTCGAATCTGACAACCCGTTTTTGTTCTCAGGGATCTCACCCAGACAGCCTGTACAGAGTTCCAGTTGACAGTGGAGTCGCACGTACTAAGATGACAAGAGTGGTACGAGTTATCCGATGGCCCGCTGCCCTTGTAGCCGTATGCGTCGCCTTAGCAGTCTTCGTGTACTTCCTTATGCCTGGTACGAAATATATTTATAGCTTACCGACGATACTAAATGGCGTCACTTGTCATTTTTTAACTTAAGCACGATCCAATTGCCGCATAATCTGCAACAGCATGAAAAAGTAGTNTACTAAGATGACAAGAGTGGTACGAGTTATCCGATGGCCCGCTGCCCTTGTAGCCGTATGCGTCGCCTTAGCAGTCTTCGTGTACTTCCTTATGCCTGGTACGAAATATATTTATAGCTTACCGACGATACTAAATGGCGTCACTTGTCATTTTTTAACTTAAGCACGATCCAATTGCCGCATAATCTGCAACAGCATGAAAAAGTACTAATAAAAAAAACGCACATAGCTGTTGGAAGTATGTTCCTTTTACTCATACTACATTTACACTCATAAATTACCTTTTTGCAAAAACTCATATGATCCTTTGCTGTGTCGCTTAAAATTGTAATACTATTAGTATAATAATATTGTAATGTTTTTTATTTATTCCTAAGAAGTGTGAAGTGGTCAACCGTCTCCACAGACATTTAAATCATGAGTTCTAAGTCTCAGTTTTCAGTACAACGGCTGCACCACCCTCCAAACCGAAACGCATTACTGCTTCATGGCAAAAATAGGCAGCGTAGTGGTACAAAAATAGGCAACCTACCTACGGTACGGGCTCACAATACGCCCTAACATCAGTAATTAATTATTGATAATAATTACATCGCTGGTCAAATACATTGGATATAGAAAATTGTCAATATGAAGTTGGCTTTCTGGACTGATTGCTAAAGCAATGAGATTTTCCATAAGGAAGGTAGATTTAAAAAAAAAAAACTATTGTTAGTCTCTCTGAAGTAAAGTGTATTTGAATGGACGCTTTTATAGTGTAGTTATTCTTACGTTGTATTGAACACCATTCACTAGATTTTTTTTTAAATTGTTTAAGATGAAAAAAAAAAAATCTGTTATTCTGTATAGATTCTATATAGATTATGTTATTGTTGATTTATAATTTTAACGGATTTCTTTTAACTTTCTAAATATTATTTTACAATAGGTGCACCGTTCGCGGATACTAATCAAGATAAGTTTTTGTTTGATATCGACACCTCGCAAAAGTTTATCTGCTGTGTATTGATCACTGCTTAATCGTTTTTTTTTATAGTCTTTATTAACAACCTTATCTTTCGACGATTATTACGTTTTGCAAAAATACACTAGCGCAACAGTTTCAACAAATTTCATGGTAATGTTTAATCAAAATCGGCAAAATTGCAAAAGAAAACTCAATTTCAATGACAAAAGTGTATGAATTCATAAAATAATATTAACACAAGCACGCGCATGTTAAATTCTGATAATACATGATTTCGTTACGTATAAAAAAATAACGTAACATACATTGATATTTTTCAACATCGTATCCAACCAAAGCACTCCGGGATTTCGGTTGAAACGTTTTGAAAGCTTCATTATTACGTTTGATGTTGACATTTGTGCGACAGATCATGTCACAGGTCAACTCGTATACGTAATGCGACATATTATTATCTATTTATGAATTAATACATCATTATACCTACATAATGTAACTAGTTTTCGTCTTCCAATGAACAAAGTTTGACCACAATCACGGACACTTTAATATTTATTTTTGGATTATATTTTCTCATCTCATCTGTTACTACTACTGACATTTGAACAACAAACTGACTACATATTTCAATTTTTTTTATTGATTCACTAAAGCTCGTGAACAGCTACTAAATACTACTACTACATAAAAAAATAGTTTGACAAGCAGACGTCAAAATAATAATTTAATCTTATCTTATATCTTCTCAATTCTTGTATATAAATATATATATTTATAATCTGAATCTCGGAAACGGCTCCAATGATTTTCATAAAATTTAGTATACAGGGGATTTCGGGGGCGATAAATCGATCTAGTTACGATTTATTTTCAGAAAATGTTGTTTTATTCGTGTTTTTAATAATCAACTTTATCGATAATCAACTTAAACATACTAATTTTTTTTATTGAAAGAAAATAACAAATAATATAATATAATATAATTTCTAAAAAATACAATTTATTAAAAAAAATATTAAATACCTTATCCTCATCCTCTCCTCATCCCCTAGTATTTTTATTATGTAAGCAGATTAATTTTTATTTATTTACACGATAAGCATACTCTAGTTAGTGTAATAGGCGATCCTGTGTTCACAGTACCGTGTTGTGATCCACAAAACTGGATTTCGTGCGACAAAGCTTATGTAATTTGTTTACAAAATCAATGTTCAAGAATGTTTGAGCTGTTCGTTTTACATATTAATTACGTTTGCTTTGATTAATTGATTGATAGATATACTACCGTTTTAAATATTAATATCGAACTCATTATCCTGTTTCGTATAAAAATCCCATTTCTCACTTCCACTGTTCCTCATTAAGTCTCTTTTAAGATCCTTTTTCGTATTTGCATATAGAAAGCTGCGTACATTTTTGGGTATCGACAAGCCACAGTCCAAATGAAGGAACATAAAATATTTCTGAAGTTAACGATCGTGGTTTCATGAGCGAAATTTGCCTTTAGAGTCGCATGAGTTCTTTAAACACATTCGGGAACTTTCGAGTTTCACACGCAAAGGAGTTTTTAAAAGAATACCAATATGATTTGTAAATGTATCACAATTTTGCAACAACCTGAACGCTTACAAGGACCGGATGTTCTGCTTTAACTCTGTTCGCATCATTAGCCAAGGACCCGTGAAATGGAAAGTTGACCTCGCGTTGACCGCGCATTCCTCCTACAGCGAATGTCTGCCTACACATCTCTGGCTATCTTATTCAACACGTAACTTTTTGCATTAAAACAATGCAACGCCTGTTTTGCGAATATTTAAATTAAGTAACTCACATTATCTACATTAAAATTTATTTAATAATTTAAATAATTACATGAAAGGAACTATATTAGTCTTATTTAGTTCTAAACTATCTTAGTTGTTCCTCAATTTGATTCGTTATCCGATATAATGGTAACTTAATCAATTTCATATGAATTTATAAATCAATAGGGTTATGTTTAATTGTATTAGAACACATTCTCATGAGTTATTTTACTGTCAATCCGGTAGTAGACAAAGAACAATCCGGTCTTTTATAACCTCACTTTCATCGTCGCGTGCAGCACCAATTAACACTTTGTGTATGCTTTGTTTGCTAAAAGCTATAGTGACCTAACGTTTTCATACAATTACGTCGTATAATGCATCAGTAAAATCACTGGCTTTTTTAATTTAATGATTCTAAGAAATAAATAATTCTAGTGCGATTTTCGTAGGCTCTATGTTCCGGTATATATGTAAAATTTCGAAGTTATTAATCTGTCAAATAGTATTTATGCCAAATATAAATAACACCGTATGTGAAATTAGACTAGTTGAGGCCGCTGTCGACCTAAAATAATCACGAACCAAGTAAATGAGGTAAATTATTTTAATAGCTGTATTAAAGGTATTTCACATGTGTACATGTATCGAATTTATTTTAATCCACTGCAATGAATTCAAACTTCGTGCGTTTCTGTTTACTGCATTGTGTAATTGAAACTTTTCTGTAATCTCAAGGTGGGTAGTGAAACGTAAGGTCGAAATTTAAATTGTATTGCATAACTATTCCACCCTTTATACGTACTAACGCGTACGTTTTTTTATTGTCCTAGTATACAGAGGATCGTACGGTCCACCTGATGGTGAGTCGTTACCGTCGCCCATGGACTTCAACAATGCCAAGGGCAGAGCCAATCTTCTGCCTACTGTTTAGTATTCTCCACAAGCCTCGTTTGAAGAAGGACATATCATAACGCTCGGGAAACACCGTGGAGGGGAGTTCATTCCAAAGCCGAATGGTACGTGGCAAAAAGATCTCTGGAAACGCAATGTGGATGAACGCAGTGGCTCGAGGTAGTATGGATGAACTCTACTCCGGTAGCGGGCGGTGTGATGATAAAAACGAGACGGTGGGATCATCTCAAACAACCGTTTTAACTAAACTTGAGACCTTATAACTTATATCTCAAGGTGGGTGGCGCATTTACGTTGTAGATATCTATGGGCTCCAGTAACAACTTAACACCACGTGGGCTGTGAGCTCGTTCACCCATCTAAGAAATAAATAAAAAAGCACCTCCATTCTCCTCGGAGCACTTTTCATGAAACATACGGTACGAAATACAGAGGGAACTGAAGCTATTTTGACCAGGTCGTCGGTTTATCTCATTGGTTGTCTGCCCAAGTTACGATGTGCGGGCTCACAATATGCTCTAGTTAATCAAGCACCTTAGTAATAACGTCAGGTGAACACGGCGCACTGTTATAAAAAATTGACTAGAGATTTTATTAGATCGTCTTAAATTAGTAAATAGACTTTTGTGTTGTGAAATATTAAAAATATTATCTTTTTTTTTTGTTTCTGCGTTAAGAACATTTTGATTCCAATTTAATTATTACGGGAGTCATGTATAAAAAATAAGCCTACTTCTCGAATCAATGTTTTGGTCATGTTATTTTATAATGATCGTTAATATAATACTTGATGTAAGTTATTTTAAGTTTTTATAAGATAAAAGTTAAGGTCAAATTTTATTTTGTAATTTATGTTAATTTATTTTTGAAATCATTAAACATCGTATATTATTGTTAAAGCAACTTATTTTGAATAACTTTAACGATCGATTTGTAAAGATTAAGTAAGTAATAAAGTCTGAAGAACGTCCGACCCGGGAAGTGTGGTCCAGTCACCTATGACACTGAGACCGCCGAAACGGGAGCATGTTATTTTAGATTCATCATATACGATTATGTAGCAAAGCATTTCATAATCATTGATATAATTTTATCTAATATATAAAAGTAAATGTTTTTTGTTCATTTTTTTTACGTGGTCATACCGTTCCGCTTATTTGTCGAACTCGTCGAGCAGATCGACGTGGAAACTAGCGCATAGGATCAGCTCGCTTAGTTTCTCGCCGGATCTTCTCAGCGGTTCGCGATTGTAATCCGACAGTACATGCATACGCGAAGCAACTGCCCTTAAGCTGTCAGGTCTCCCTCGGAGGCTCTCGAGCAGCTGTTACAAAATCCCACCCCTCCTGGCTGAGCCCGTGCTCGCCCACCTGTCCTGATGAAACTAGAAAGGCCTCTGGGTCATATACAATCCTCCCGTTCTAAAAAAAATATATAAATAAAAATTATAAAATATAGTAATTAATAATAATAATAATTAATTTTTGTTCGTTCTTTTGTTCACTTGCACTTGAAGCATTAATTTTCACACGGTAGGTACTTACTAAATTTTGAGGGTTAAATTGTTCGTGGATATACATAAAATAAGGTAAGGTAAAAATATGCGTTTGCCGACAATTCCACCCATTCCATGATAGGGATGCTCGTACGCTATTATAAATATATAGTTACTTTTTTTTCTTCAATTGTCATCTACCAGATGTCGGTGATTGTTAAAGTGCCTTGAAAATTTGTTCAAATTTGCTGTAAAGAAGGAACAGAAGCTCGACGTAGAGGTTTCGGTCACGATCTTCAAGCAATAATGATTTTATTAATGATCGAAGATCACGATGCTCTCTTGTTCCCTACTCTACTATTTTCTTATATTTTGCGTTGGATTATCAACTGTTGCATTGCATGTTCTAGATCCCCCAATTTAGACTATTGATGGTATTGAGTATCGTGTCATAATTGAAGACATCAGTGGATGAAGGGGTTAAGTGCCATTTTTAAGATTTTTGAGTTTTTACATTGAATGAATATATTATGTCCCTATAAATGATATTAGACCTTAAATCTCCGGATTTAAAGGCTATTTTTAGAAATTGCATGTGATCAAGGATCTATGTACGAAGAAAATGTACAAGTAATAAAAGTTTGTTGCCCGTTTTCTCAAAATTTACATATTGTATGATACAATCCTCTTCATCCACTCATGTCTTCAATTACACTATAACAAAATTTCATTCGGCTGTCGCATGGAGACGGCAATGTTGCTCGAGAGATGTAAGTTTGTTGACATAGCTGCCATTTGAAGTAAAGTGAATAATGTGATTGGTTGAAAAGCTTTGTTCAAAAACGAGTTGTTGACGACATCGCTCATAGATACAATCAGTCGAGTTTCTTGCCGGATCTTCTCAGTGGGTCGCGATTTCGATCCGCCGGTAGATTCAATGAAGCACTGCTCTTGCTAGGGCTAGTGGTGACTTGGGAGAAGAGGAGGACCCCTGTCTTCTTCTCTGGAGGCGCCGGAGTCCGACATAACCCGGTCTCTTACTCCCCTCGACCGGGTATCCGCAAATGGATTCCCCAGCGTTAAAAAAAAAAAAAAAGGGCTAGTGGTGACAAGTCCTCTCAGAATGAGCCCTGTGAGCTCACCTACCCGTCCAGCCGTTGGAATAGCTTCTTAAGCTAGCAACGATTAGGGACAAGGAAAAAGACTACATTTTAAATCAGAAAACCATTCCTTCCTTTTCTTCCTTTTCTTTCTATGTTTAGTAGACTACATAAATAGCATTAATGAATGAACATAAATTAAATATTAATATTAAGTTTTTGCTGTTATAAGAGGATGCACTTTAGATTTTAAATAAAAAAACTGGCTTTCTAATTTGTTTAGAAATTCTATCAGATAATTAAGCAATTTGTTTTATTTATTAAGAGTAAAGAAAAGAAAAAAAGCCGCCGAATTTTACTGTATCTGATTAGAGTTAACGATATGGAAATCTATTAAAAAAATCTAGTTTGGTGACATTCTAGTTCCTTACTCGTGCTTTTATATAAACTCATTAGCCTTGTCTGGGTTTGAAAAGTGACTGATTTAAAATGCTGTCTGACGAAGTTTTTATCTATCGTTCTGTTAATTTACTTCCGAATGAGTTTCTCTAACAGTGAAAAGCTCCACTAATTATTCAAAATTCCGAACATAACCAAAAAATAATTAATGAACGCCTCGTCCGTCTCGTCTGGCTATTGGCACGTTGATTAACGTACCCGATAATTCTGTTAACGAAATTCAACATTCGATATTTGTTTTGAAAATCCTAGTGGAATTCATGAGCATCGGAATCCCAGAGTTTCGTTGAATTTGTAATGTTTACCTTAGAAAAATAATTAGTAAGTAACCAACGTTCGATCAGTGTTCGAATATCGACCATAATCACCGACATCTATACTTCTATACTCTATACTAATATTATAAAGAGGAAAGATTTGTTTGTTTGTTTGTTTCGAATAGGCTCCGAAACTACTGGACCGATTTGAAAAAATCTTTTTCCATCAGAAGCCGACATTGTCCCTGATGAACATAGGCTACTTTTTTTTATTTTTTTTTATTTTATTTTTTTGGTTTCATGTGTGTTTTAATGTTTCCGAAGCGAAGCGAGGGCGGGTCGCTAGTCTTAAATAAAAGAATAAACAGTTTTAGACTTGCTTCTTCGTTCATATTGTATGCTTTCGTGTAAAGCTTAATTCGTCGGATAGAATTTTTCACAGTTGTTATTGGTACATACCGATGATTTTCTAATATAATTGTATATAGTAATTGATTCAACGACTGGACGCGAAAACGTAACAGACAGATCGAACTACTTTAGATTGATAACATCATTGTTAACGTAATATACATAAGTTATGTTTCTTATTTCACAGATAGGTGTCGAGCTTTCGATATTTTTGCTATTGAAAGGTTCCCCATAGACATAACCTACTGAGTTTCTCGCCGGATCTTCTTAGTGGGTCCCGATTTCGATCCGCTAGTAGATTCTGTGAGGCACTGTTCTTGCTAGGACCAGTGTTAGCAAGTCTCTCAATTTGAGCCCGTGTGCTCACCTACTAGCCTGTGATTAGCTGGAATAGGCCTAATGGGCTATACCAGCGAATAGTTAGGAAAAAAATTGTTACTCAAATCTATTATGAATTTTCTTTGCGACATAAATTAGCAGAATAGATAATACCGGATATATTCCATTTACAACACACCCTACCACCGTAATTACGCAAATAATAGTAATGCTCCGTATACAATATTTCTTACGTTTCTTTTGTTACAACATACCCGTATATATAAATACATATTATTATAATTTGCGTAATCACTGGTGGTAGGACCTCTTGGGAGTCCGCACGGGTAGGTACCACCACTCCGCCTATTTCCGCCGTGAAGCAGTAATGCGTTTCGGTTCGAAGGGTGGGGGTAGCCGTTGTAACTATACTGAGACCTTAGAACTTATATCTCGAGGTGGGTGGCGCATTTACGTTGTAGATGTCTATGGGCTCCAGTAACCANGGGAGTCCGCACGGGTAGGTACCACCACTCCGCCTATTTCCGCCGTGAAGCAGTAATGCGTTTCGGTTCGAAGGGTGGGGGTAGCCGTTGTAACTATACTGAGACCTTAGAACTTATATCTCGAGGTGGGTGGCGCATTTACGTTGTAGATGTCTATGGGCTCCAGTAACCACTTAACACCAGGTGGGCTGTAAGCTCGTCCATCCATCAATGCAATAAAAAATAAAAAAAACATACTTTATACATATTTATAAAAACAAACTTAATCGTACTTTATATTGAAATATATACGTATGTACGTAAGGCAAATACCGCGAGCGGTTATCGCGCCTTAGTGTAAATGCCTCGCAAAACCTATCTGAGACAGTTACTAGATTTGCTCATCAGTAAAAATATTTTACTTTGTTTTTCAGATACGATCGACATTGATGTAGACTCTGTTAATGGAACTACTTGGGAAGCTGCGAGAGCACACAATAATGTATTACCTCACAAATTTGAAGAGAGTAAAGTCAAGAAGAATGACAATGATCGTGCTCAAACACAGGGTAACTTATTTGGATTTTAAACTAATAAAAGTTTACTTTGTGTGCATTTAAACCATTTGTTTTTAGCACGAAATTCCGGTTTGGTTCTTACTTTTATGGAGAAAAGTGCCATTTTCTCTTCCGGTAAAATATTTTAATAAATTAGTACTACAATTTTCTTGGCATGCTTATATTTTTAAATTAGCAACGATTTATTTAATAGGTTGGTGTATGCGTACTTATACGCGTGTTTGGTTAGTAAGTCTCGATGATTCGTGAGTTTTGGTGAATGAGGTAGGGGTCAATTCTTATGTTGATGTGATTGACAACTGCATATATGATTGGGTTGTATAATATTACTCTAAAAAAAGAAAGAGAGAATTAAAAAAGAAGTAGGAGAGATGGATAGGAGGTAGATATTAGGTAATGACGCTGATAAACCGAACAAAATATTAAAACTTTTTTGATAAAGGAATTTACATGGATATTTTAGATCACAGTCCAACAAAAGCACATTGAATATTTTTTAATCATTATGATTAAGTTGGTGATTGACTTGATCCTAAATTTATTAAAATAACTATAATTGTCATGCTTAATTTAACCGGTATCAGTCTATACAAAGCACGGTGCGTGTATTACGTAAAATTTGGATATTAGAACGAACTAATTCCAAGTTATTTGTATCAAAACGATTACAGAATAATCTGTTGGAATAGATAACATGTTCACTTAGGTCACTAGAAACTAAATAAATTTACGCTACGGCGTTAATTCTAAATTTAATGCAGTTGAAACCACGGAATACAGTTCATCTTCTTATTAGAATCATACCTGCAAAACCAAAAAAACTTATAAATTTTCTTAGTTACTTACTGAGTACTGGCTTAAAGTACTCGATTTTTGTGTGACCCCAGGACTGGGTAACTCTGCTCTGACTACTCACTGACTGCCGTACGGCAATCATGCGTTATAATTGATGGGCGACGTAACCCATAGACACAGCCCACTGAGTTTGTCGCCGGGTCTTCTCAGTGGGTCGCGTTTCCGATCCAGTGGTAGATTCTGCGAAGCTCTGCTCTTGCTAGGGCCAGTGTTAGCAACACTCCGGTTTGAGCCCCGTGAGCTCACCTACATGTTAGGGTGAAGCTGAAATAGCCTCTCAACGCTATCAGCATAGGTAGGAAGAAAAAGATGGGCGAGACACAATTCTACCATTAAGATTTCAACCTCATATCTTAATATGAACGGTGGCTCTCTCGTTGTGACAGCTATGGACACCAGTAATAATTTAACATTAAGTGACCTTTGTTTGAACTTGTCTCTTAATGTAAGCATATTTAGTAATAAGATTGATATACCAGAAGCGGTGAGTTTAATTTTATTTTTCTAGTGGAACCATACATTATATTTAAGATCACTGACTCACAAACTGGCATTAAATTTATTTCACGAGCAGCTGAAACAAAGTACCGTGTACACGCACATTATTTTCATAATATGTATTTTCACGTTATTGTAATGTAGATTAGCATTGTTTTGTGTGAATGGTAAAATGAATATTATTGCAGGAACGAAACCATCCGAAATAGACTTTTACGATGCTGATAATGACAAGAGTTACGATATTACCGCTATAATTGATACAATTACGGAAACGGATCCTAAAAGGGTGCTGCCGGTTGCACCAATATTCCCGAGTCATATCACTCCAGAGGTGCAATACGGGAATGAAAGGGTTGATAAAGATAAATTGAGAACGCCGAAAGTAATTAACGAAACGAACACATTTCCCGAAGACTCAACACTCAAACCACATATCACTCAAAAACCTGAAAAACCCTTAGAAGTATACTTTAGGGACGTCACCGCAATCCCTACAACCACGGAATCTATCTTCAGAGCTGAAACGGTTAACGATTTTACGAATTACGAAGAGAAACAAACCACGAAAAAGATCGAAGAAGCGTCTTCGAAACATCGCCCATCACTTTACAAACAAAACTTCGTTCAACTTCCAAACGGAGTACAAGATGTCGAAGCGTCATCCGAGATACCTCTCGAAGTGCAAGAATACTACGGCGAGCAACCGGTGAAATCTAATGTTAACTTTACGTCTGGTCACTCGAAATTGTTCGGCATTTCTATGGAAGATGCGGAAAAAATTAAATCTACCACGCAAAGTTCAGTGTACAACACTAGGGTCTCACCCACGCTTCCGACTTGGCGGGATGGTGACGACGCTACTACCAAAAAATATCCAACTAACATTAATTACGAAGGTAAGGATATATTTTACTCCAATTAAAACGGGTGCATGCGGTGAATTTTGATAAANAAATTGTTCGGCATTTCTATGGAAGATGCGGAAAAAATTAAATCTACCACGCAAAGTTCAGTGTACAACACTAGGGTCTCACCCACGCTTCCGACTTGGCGGGATGGTGACGACGCTACTACCAAAAAATATCCAACTAACATTAATTACGAAGGTAAGGATATATTTTACTCCAATTAAAACGGGTGCATGCGGTGAATTTTGATAAATGAAAACATAATATGTAAGTGATTGATTTTTTTTAAAAACGGACCAATATTCTGTGTCGCACGAATGCACCAAACACTTTGGGGATTTCATATCTGGTGATGATCGTTTATTTTAACTTTAAATTGCAAATATTTTTTATTTATTCCAGTGCCGCAGTGTCATTCGACCCACATACCTCTGTGCCGTGGAGTGCTGCCCTACGACTTAGCAGGAAACGCAGCTTCAGTCGGTGGAATAGAGATCACGGCCTTACTACCGCAGATAGAATACTTGGTGGCCACTAACTGCAGCGACCGTGTGAAGCACTTTGTCTGCGCTCTACTCGAACCTGAATGCAACCCGCCTCCGTATCCACCGAAATTGCCATGCTTTAATCTTTGCAAAGGTATCAATAGTACCTACTTATTTTTTAAACGATTAAAACTATAGGTAACTAATTTATATAATATAATCATTGCTTTGGTAAAAATCTATGATGTAGAGTTTATGTTGTGTTTTGACTTTGCCGAACTGTTTCGAAGCTGATTAAATATAGTTACGCCCTACCACGATTTAATCATGAATCTATTGAAGTCGAAGTCTCAAATGTATGTTTTGTAACAATTGTTCCACCTAGCAAACTAGAACGCGTGATGGTTTTGAAGCAGAAATAGGTAGGTCAGTGGTAACTTACCGCGTCTTACACTACTGGTGCACATTTTAAGTCGTCGTGGCCTAAAGGATACCACGTCCGGTGCATTCGCATCGAACTATGTGACTATGTCGGTGTTCAAATCTCGCAGACTGTTACAAATTTTGCTCGTGATATACCTGCCGACTCCCACAACGTAGGAATAACATCGTTTAATAAAAATGAAACCCGCAAATAATGTAATTTGCGGAATGATTAGTTACAGAGCGCAGTGTGAGCCCGCACGTGTAAGGACATCTCCCCTATTTTGGCCTATTACAAACGTGAATTAAACAATAGAATTGACCATTTTTGACTTCATGTCCATTTATTTAGTAATGCCTACATGCCATACTCCAGGAAAAAAATAGTACCAGGTGGGCCGAAAGCTGCCTGGTGTGAGCACTCGTGAGCACGGCTCACATGATATGCGGAGAAAGTGACAACGATGTGAATATTAAACCAAATATTGAACGTACAAGAATTATGACGCGTCCCATATTTTAATTGAATACCGTATTCCCTACGAACCTTATGGAATGTTAGATTTAAAGGCGTTTTTTTTTTGTTAATTTCCAGCTATCGTTGACAACTGTGACGGGCTGATCCCCCGAGACCTATCCCCGGCGTTCAATTGTCAGCAATATTTCAAGAACAACTGTATAGCAGCCAAGACGCCGTGCTACCCGAGAGAGATGACCTGCGGCGACGGATCCTGCATCCCGAGGGACTGGATCTGCGACGGGACCCGGGACTGCCTCAGCGGAGAAGACGAGGCGACTTGCGTCCAATGCGACACCCGCGAGTTCCGGTAACGCTCTTCCTACCGCAACTCCGACAGGATTACCTTACCTTATTGTAGGCAGCGGCTTGGCTCTGCCCCTGGCACTGCTGACGTCCACGAGCGACGGTGACCAGTTACCATCGGGTGGGCCGTATGCTCGTCTGCCTACAAAGGCAATAAAAAAAACCTAGAGAACTTTTTTTTACCTCGACTGGTGTTAATGGTTACCGAAGTCCATAGACATCGCAACGATACCATACCGAGACATGAGGTCTAAGTCTAAACTGTCCCGCCCTTCGAAGCAAAGTTGTGGTGTTTAGGTGCGTAGTAGCCTTACCACCAGTAGGTACGCAAATTAGATTTTTAACGGGTTTGATTTTTTTATACGATGTGATTTCTTCATCGTGGGGATCGGCACGTATTTCATTACCAAAATCTGTACCGGGAGTTGAACAGCCGCATGGTCGCATCGCTCAATACGAATGCGCCAAACGTTCTTTATCCCTTATCCTTTAGGTCACGATGACTTCAATTTTAATTACACCGGTACTAGGGGTCCTATTAGATAGCTACGCCTGACCTGCATATTTCTGCTGCAATACAGTCAAGCTTTCGATATGTATATGTGGGACACCTGATACAGTATAAATACAGTTGTATAAGTACTAATTTAATTTATAGTTACTACTTAATCCTTGCTTGTCAACATTTTCTTTTAATAGAATTATTTTTAATAATGTACAAGTGTAAATGCTGTGCTGCTTGCCAGCAATAGTAATAGTATTATTGTGCTTTATTTAATTTAATTTTCTTTGTTGTTTCGTTGTAGGCTGCCCACAGGTTGTTATTACTGTGTGTNGGTTCTGACCTCGGAGGGGATCGGACGTCGGGTGTAAGAGTGCAGGGGAGTCGTTTAGTGGGTGGGCCCTAAAATCCTTGGTCCCGCGGTCTGCTCATAACACCATGCAGATCGTAGAGTCTCACATACCCCGCGCGCCCCTTTTGCGCGGGGACCTCGTAGGAGGTTCGGCCCTCTACCCGAAAAAAAAAAAAAAAAAAAAAGGTTGTTATTACTGTGTGTGCTTATGTATGTTTTGTATTCGGGTTCACCATTTAATTTGATTTTTGTTTTGTGTTTTTATTTATTTTTATACTAGTTTATACCATGTTCTAAGTCTGTACACACGTACCTAGCTCTCGTTCCCGCAGTGAACCAATGGGAAACGGGGGTGATTGAAAATCAGCGCTGTTCAATTTATCGACCTTGGACAGCAATAGCTGAGCCACCTCCTTTTGCCTTTTTCTCTTTTTTTCTTTTGTTTTATTTGTATTTTATTTTATTTAATGTGAAGGGCAATAAATGATTTTATTATTATTATATAATTAGTTGAGACTTTGACTTCAAATCTCATGTTTCTTCTGGGTCAACAAACAACAAAACTTCATTCAAAGTTCTGATTATTATCCTTGTTAATTTAACACGACAGGTGTCCGTCCGGGGGATGTATACAGAAGCGTTGGCTCTGCGACGGGTACGCGGACTGCTCTAACGGGGAAGACGAGGACGTCGAGGTGTGCGGCAGCCCCGTGGTGGCGGGCGAGGAGCCGGCCGGGTCCGCGCCCGCACCCGCCGTGCGCAGACCGAACAGAATGCAGAATTCACACGGACGACAATACTCACACAATACAGGTTCAATTTTTATGACCCAATAATAATAAAAAAATCCACTGATATATAGGTTTTTAATTACAATTTTTTTAATTACAATTCTCACTGGTGGTAGGACCTCTTGTGAGTCCGCACGGGTAGGTAAAATTAAAACCCTTCAAACATGTGAACGAAGCGTCGATTTAATTTAATTAATTACCTTATTTATTTATACGCCATAAACATGATCGTTTGACAGACAGGACGTAACTGGCGATCGTGAAGATTTCAATGTTCCTTTTTAGAGATCCGCTAAGGGCGGATTAACAATATACAATTACATATATATCTACTGGAGTCAAAGGATGAGGTCAAAAGACGTAGGTACACTGTAGGTATTACTGGTGGTAGGACCACTTGTGGGCCCGCACGGGTAGGTACCACCGCCCTGCCTATTTCTGCCGTGAAGCAGTAATGCGTTTCGGTTTGAAGGGCGGGGGCAGCCGTGGTAACTATACTGAGACCTTAGAACTCATATCTCAGGGTGGGTGGCGGCATTTACGTTGTAGATGTCTATGGGCTCCAGTAACCACTTAGCAATAAAAAAAATAAATTTTATAAACTTCAAATTCAATTTTGTAAATATCAAATTCGATTTCTTTCAACTTTTTTTTCTTCTTCTAAAATTTATTTTAAAATTAGCATACCTAAAAAGAAATACAAAAAATACAATAATACAAAAGAAGAAAACTCAAAAAATAAATGACTTGAAGATATTAAATTGAAATGTATTTTTTGTGTTTTTTTCTTAATTTTTTATAAATAATTTTCTAACCTTGAAATACAAATTGAATTTGTTATTTAAAAAATTGAATTTGTTGTTAAAATCTATGTATATTTAAAGATGTTCGAACATTGTATTCAAGTCAACGTAGGCTTGGAATTATAATCTAATAAAAACCTTTCAAGATTACATGACGCTTTTAATTTAAAAAAAAAAATGTAACAAATATTTACGTATTTACAGCACTCGGATTATTAATACAATAACCAACAAAAAGTACCAATATTCAAACCAAATAAAATACACATTATCAAAAAACGTTGTTGATTTTGTTCTTATTGTTGTCGCATCAAAACCAAGTCAATAACTTACCTACATTTCGAAAGCATTACTATAAAAACGAATAAAAGAGCTAGAGAGCTTACATTACTTTTCTGAGAAACATATTTAAAAAAGAGTTTCCCTAAAAGTAAAGTAAAAACAATATCCTATTCATATCGTTGAATTAAATCACATAAAAACTTTGTTTCAGGTGAGAATGAAAGCAGCAAAGAGCTCTTGGTCACAAGCGACAGCAGCAACTCCCTCAAACGGAATTTCACACGAAGACCCTCGCTGTCCCGACTGACGCCCTACAACCGAAATATGCCGCATACAATCCAAACCAGACATAACAATACACAAACAACCACAGCTCCCGTCACCAAACACTCCTCGCAAGACAACGAGAGAACAACACAGAACGCTGACGATGGAGATTCCGAGGAAGACGTGAATGTCGGAGACCTCGGATTCTTCGAAGACCTGAAGAAAGAACCTAAAGAACAGCCCGCTAAGCGGGTGATTGCGAAATCGCAGATGACCAAACCGAAGTCGTCTATAGAAAAAGACGCGGGAGGCGGCGCCCCGGCCCCCACGCGACTCGATCAGTCCATCAGCAAACTGGAGAGGGTTATCAATGGAGCGGCTCTACTAAAGGTAGGAATGTAATTCGTTATTTTTTTTTTATTGCCCTTTTAGTCAGACGAGTATACGGCCCACCTGATGGTGAGTGGTTACCGTCGCCCATGGACTTCAGCAATGCCAGGGGCAGAGCCAAGCCGCTGCCTACAAACATTAACAAGGTTTAACAACACAATCGACACTTCGATCTCTGATCGCAAAGTTATGTTCAAGGGTTTCCAGTAAACACTTATTACCAAGTGCTAAAGCCATTCACTCATTTAACTGAAATATAATAATGTATGTATCCAGTTTGAAAACTAAAAGAACACGCTTAAATAGTAAAAAGAACATTTAATTGAATTTTTATCTTCTGTAGATGCTGGTCAGGATATTAGAGTGAAGTTTTATAATTATTGTATTGACCACGGTCTTTTTTTTAATGCCCGTGTAGGCAGACGAGCGTACGGCCCACCAGATGGTAAGTGGTTACCGTCGCTCTAAGACGTCAGCAATGCTAGGGGCAAAGCCAAGCCGCGGCCTACCGTTTACCGGTCTCTGGTGCTGTTCAAATTATAAAGTTGTCTTGGATGTCTTGAGGTCGGTGAAAAAGACATTCCAAGAGTTAATTATAAGAAACATCTCTAGCAATTCCTACTAGTGTCAGGGCTTGTATTATGGTACTTCTATGGTACTAAATGGTACTTCATTCATTCTGTCAAGCATTAAGCTTTATAGGGCAAATTTTAGTAGGGTAGATCTTATTTAGAAATTTCGACCCAAGCTTGCTTTTTTGGGTCGGACACGAGACGGACCATCCAAGCCAAGCGCAGACTTAACCAATACTGACAACCGATGACAATACTAAAACAGAAAGCGGAAGCCGAATCGAAATCGGAAAAGGCGGAAGAGTTAGAAGAATCGCCTGAAATGAATAAGGGCGGGACGAGGAGTGACGATCTGCCGACCGGACCGCGGGGAGGGTCGACCAGCGCGCATGTGTCGCCCTGTCCCACCGGGGAGTTACGCTGCGTGGACGGGCGCTGCATCACGCTGGCCCAACTCTGCGACGGCACCATCGACTGCTCCGACCACGCAGACGAAGACAACTGCTTCACGTGATCGTGAAGCCGCACCTCCGAAGGACTATCCAGACAGCCCACGTGTACGTCTTTACAAACTAAACAATTCATTCCTTAAATCCAATGTATTTAGGCAACTTAAATGAGGTCTAGTGTATCTTTTAACACGCACACGATATAATGGTCGTGATGTCGAGATTTATATCTTGAATCAAATCTATGGCAGGTTTCTTTTGTGAAGGAACTTTTGTAAGTGTTTGTTTCTCCAATTAGAGCTCCCATAGAGTTATCGTATTCTAGTGAAAAATAAACCTGTAGTTTTGTAATTTGTATGATCAAGATATTTTCGTATTATTCGGGAAAATTCCTATGTTTTTTTGAGATTTTTTGGAAATTACACAGACCAAATCATGAGATTGATTCGAATAATCAAATCACGGAACGTATCTAATTGTCGTGAAGCTTTCTAGAGTTTTGGTTTGAAAGATAGTACCAATTTACGGCTTTGGTCTCGTATCTCAGCATGTATGGTAGCACCTAAGTTGGATATCATCTGTGAGCTCTGGTAACCCAGTTGACTCGACTTGAGCCATGAATTTCGTCGGTCAAACTTAAAAAGTGTAAGTTGTCATGCTTTTTAATGTTGTCGATGTAGATGCGTGACCCATCATTAAATAAGAAGTTCGCCGCTCGTGGACACCGAAAATGCTATGGATACATTAAAAGCGCTAGGGCTTAATCTTAGGTTTTTAACGATCTCGAAGGCAAACGAGCTTACGGACCACTTCTTGGTGAGCTTATAACATCCATGGACATCAAAACACAGCGAAATGGCACCTGCCGCCATCGCAAGTTACAACGTTATCATTATATAAATAGTGATAAGGCTTTTGTGTGTTTGCATTGTCAGTTACGTGAAAACACGAGAGAAAGAGACAAAAAACTTTGCATCGTGTTACTTATGGAAAGGGCGATGCTTTATACTACCAAAAGTCGATGCTTCTATAGATTTTAATCTTGATATCGGAAGCTTTTCTTCCGGAGCTATAAGCTTTTATACGAAGCATCTTCGCGTCACTATCGATTTAAGCCTGTTTCGATAAGGTGCTTATTTTTGACTCTTTGAACTCTTTTTACTCTTTGAAATTCCGTCCATAAATATTATTAATTTTAGATGTAAGAAAGTAATCGTTTATTTCATTTTTAATAGAATCTCTTGAATGCTTTGAATACGCATTTGTAAATAGAAATATTATTGTATTCCAAACGTAAGCTTTTACGTAATATAATGCAAATTAATGTAAAAGTAAAGCTATTGAATTTACTAGGTATTAAAATATAATGTTAAATAAATATAGTCGTAATGGTTTTTACATGTAACATTAACTGCTGATCTTTTAGTCATCATACAATTGAGAATTTTAAAATTTCAAATATTTAATTTCAAAGTTTAATAATCGTAACTTAAATTGTATTTTTGTTGGAAAATAAACAAATCTACATTTTTGTATTAATCGTGCAGCTATTTTGATAATATATTATTAACTTAACTAATAAACCTTGGAACTTTCCTCGCTACGTGTAAACGAAACTCTATTTCTATCGTGTTTAGGTTGTGTATTATTAAACATGTTTAAGTTTTTACTTGATAGCTATTATAATGATATTATAGATTTCCAAAGTAAATGTCATAATATTAGTTTTAATTGAATTCGTTTGTAAGATTATTAACAAAATGTACTTAATGCAAAAATGGAAACTTCTAGAATTACGTCCACTATATCAGTTTAGTTATAAATCAACTTCGGTAAGTCGGTATCCACTGCCAACGTATTATTATTATCACGTAGTACTTAAGGTATTGTTTTTATAATGAGAATTTTATTGTAATTTATACTTTTATACTTCAATAAATTTAATGCCATGTTAAAACGGTTTTCTTCGATAAATCCTTATCCCTGTCTTCGCACATCGGTACGTCGTACAGCCAGTACCTAATCGTAGTTAATTAATTACCAGTCACAACAAAATTGTGTTTAAGTTTAATGCGAAGTCACTAGTAGTTTTAGAAGTGACTAGCTGTACCCGTCCGCTTCGCTGGGCATTTAAAATTAACATTATTATTTCTCACCCCCACAAAGATTCTCATCATGAACGCCCCCGCAACTGGTGTAGGGAGTCCAACACTCGTATAAATATTAGCCTATCCATTAAGTTCATGTATTTTCTACATGGATACCGAGTTTCAAGTCAATCAGATGCATGGTTCAGTAGTTATAACGGAACATCCGTAAAAACCACTGTAGATTTACATATTAGTATAGATTTTGTTGGAAGATGAGCAAAGTTTCCGCAGACCACTTCTTGTAAAATCGGTATCAATATACATCACAACTTGATTGCCGCCACCCACAAACATGAAGTTGAAATCTCAATTGTATCAGTTATCAGCCGTTTCTCTCTTCAAACTGTAACGTATGACGGGACGCGACAGAAATAGACTTATGGGTGCTGCCCACACGGGCGAGTTTACAATACGCCCGACCACTATAAATTTGGCTGGTTTTGATTCTCATTTTGATGTATCGCTCTAACAGCGTTTAATTATTCATCACTTCCACCTTCTACACCGTTTAATATATTCGTCTATAGTAATTACTGGTGGTCACGACCTCTTATGTGTCCGCACGGGTAGGTACCACCACCCTGCCTATTTAAGCTGTGAAGCAGTAATGCGTTTCGGTTTGAAGGTCCGAGGCCGTCGTTGTAACTATACTGAGACCTTAAAACTCATATTTCAATAAGTTGTGGCAATTACGTTATAAATGTCTATGGGCTCTGGTAACCACTTAACCCCAGGTGGGCTGTGAGCGCGTCCACCCGTTTATGCAACAAAAAAATTACTATAGGTTTATTGCTACGAGGCGTCAGAATAGCTATCGTATCAAGTCATTAATATCCACGATCTGCTAAATGTTCTATGCTACCGTAGATTGATAGAATATGTTCAGGCTGAAGATGATACTCCTTGACGCAAATTTTAAGCCAGGCTTACTTTTTCCGCTTCCATCTGGTAAGTGCAATAGGCAGGCGGGTACCAATTCTTCTAATGAAATACGTACTCAACAAATGTTCACGATTGACTTCCACGGTGAAGGAATAACATCGTGTAATAAAAACCAAACCCGCAAAATTATAATTTGCGTAGTCACTGGTGGTAGGACCTCTTGGGAGTCCGCACGGGTAGGTACCACCACCCCGCCTATTTCCGCCGTGAAGCAGTAATGCGTTTCGGTTCGAAGGGTGGGGTAGCCGTTGTAACTATACTGAGACCTTAGAACTTGTATCTCGAGGTGGGTGGCGCATTTACGTTGTAGATGTCTATGGGCTCCAGTAACCACTTAACACCAGGTGGNTCACCGTTCTCGTCGAACCCGTCGCTTGCGACGAAGGGCTCGACGAGTAAATTAACTCCCAGACACAGCCCACTGAGTTTCTCGCCGGATCTTCTCAGTGGGTCGCGTTTCCGATCCGGTGGTAGATTCTGCGAAGCACGGCTCTTGCTAGGGTTCGTGTTAGCAACGTCATCAGGTTTGAGCCCCGTGAGCTCACCTACTAGCCACGGTTACGCTGAAATAGCCTCTAAGGCTATCAGATTAGGTAGAAAAAAAAAAGCCAAGTCACTAGTAGTTTTAGAAGTGACTAGCTGTACCCGTCGGCTTCGCTGGGCATTTAAAATTAACATTATAATTTCTCACCCCCACAAAAATTCTCATCGTTAACGCCCCCGCAACTGCTGTAGTGAGTCCAACACTCGTATAAATATTAGCCTATCCATTAAGTACATGTATTTTCTACATGGATACCGAGTTTCAAGTCAATCGGATGCATGGTTCAGTAGTTATAACGGAAAATCCGTAAAAACCACTGTAGATTTACATATTAGTATAGATTTTGTTGGAAGATGAGCAAAGTTTTCGCAGACCACTTCTTGTAAAATCGGTATCAATATACATCACAACTTGATTGCCGCCACCCACAAACATGAAGTTGAAATCTCAATTGTATCAGTTATCAGCCGTTTCTCTCTTCAAACTGTAACGTATGACGGGACGCGACAGAAATAGACTTACGGGTGCTGCCCACACGGGTGAGCTTACAATACGCCCGACCACTAGAAATTTGGCTGGTTTTGATTCTCATTTTGATGTATCGCTCTAATAGTGTTAAATTATTCATCACTCCCACTTTCTATACCCTTTAATATATTCGTCTATATTAAATACTGGTGAAGTCCGCACGGGTAGATACCATCACCCTGCCTATTTGAGCTGTGAAGCAGTAATGCGTTTCGGTTTGAAGGTCCGAGGCCGTCGTTGTAACTATACTGAGACCTTAAAACTCATATTTCAATAAGTGGTGGCAATTACGTTATAAATGTCTATGGGCTCCGGTAACCACTTAACCCCAGGTGGAATGTGAGCGCGTCCACCCGTTTATGCAACAAAAAAAATTACTATAGGTTTATTGCTGCGAGGCGTCAGAATAGCTATCCTATCAAGTCACTAATTTCCACGATTTGCTAAATGTTCTATGCTACTGTAGATTGATAGAATATGTTCAGGCTGAGGATGATACTTCTTGACGCAAATTTTAAGGCAGGCTTACTTTTTCCTCTTCCATCGGGTAAGTGTCTTCAACTTTTTAGAGTATAAACCGATGAACTGTTAATGTTTTGAATTGCTGTAATTTGACCCTTGTTCAGAGACTGAATTTCAACAGTTCTGTTGCATTGAATAACTACAGGCAACATCTGACGAAAAAGTTGCGCAAAAAGTAAAGTTACTGACGCCTATCATCGGGTTTTTATTTTAGCTGATAACTTGCAACGGCCTATTTAGCATCAGAGCCAGCATGAGTCGGGGACGCAGTGTTCCGCTACCCGGTTGCATTTGCACATATGCGTGTAAAATAGCTTACTCCTCGTACTCTAGACCTCTCGTCGGTCCTCAAATTGAGATTCGGACTAGACTTTTATTCTCTCCCCAACACAACGACTTAATGCAGTGAGAAGATTCTCTTTCATGGTTTGTTTCTGCAAATAATGCAGTCGCAGAAGTCGTGTATTACTCGGCATGGGTCGTTGCTGTCAAGCAACGCAGTCAAGATTCCAGACAGTGACCAGTCAGTTTCAGATTGTGCACTAGACCTCTCAGTCTGCCCTATAAACGTGTAATCCTGGATGTGAACAATACGCATCAGGTCAGCAAGCTAGCAAGCATCTGTTAGCCTCAATGTGAGTGCACACCATTCAACCAGTCCCCGATGACAGATTAAATATTCATGACAGTGGAAGACTAATTAAGGGATCGCCTAGCCATCTAACCAAGCATCCAGTACAAATCGTCGAAATTGGGTCTTTCTACTCTGACCACACTATAATCGCAGTACGCAACAGGCAAGGAGGTCGAGTAACCGCTAGGATTTAGCAGCGAGTACATGCATCGGGGATAGCATTTCGCTTCGCTGTTCTCACGGTCATGAACTGCACACGAAAGTTCTGTATAGACGTCGACCGCACCACCCCACTGTAGAAGCGGCGTGTAGTGATTTGACTCTCTAGTGGTGAGAGGAAACTGGCCTAATGCGTCGTCCATTCCTAACAATAAACAATCTTTTAACTTTTCACGTCTCTTTCGATCATTTTTGACTATTAACGTAGAAAACGTAACATGGTGTATTCGAATGATTTACCACGTTTATTAACAAGTCATTAAAGTCATAAAAACTATTCTCTCGCGTTTTTCTACTATACCCAGCTTGGCTTTTCAATTATCAAGGGAATAACTCGAATCTAAAAAGTAAAACGGTTTGGGCAAGTGGACAATTTTCGTGTTTTCAATGTCTTTTGTCTTTAGATGGTTTGGGTAAATCACAGTCGACTTTATGCCACGTTACAACAGGTGATTGGGCTTATTGGGAGCCCGTAAGGGTACGCACCATAATTCTGCCTCTATTTGTCGCGAATCAATCATATATTCTGATTTGGACGGTGGACTAGCCGTTATACAGTGGAGGCGTCAACCACACGTATGTAGGTGGGTGGAGTATTTCACATTGATATCTATGTGACAACGGTGACCATTCCATAACAAGGAGACTCGTTTTCTCATATACCACAATAAAAAACAACTGAAAACAGCGTGTACGCGAAAATCTATAAATGATAACTCAACATAAAACACTCTGACATCTTTCAACAAAATAGATACATTTTGGAGGAGCACGATTTAATCTAAAGTAACATTTACCTGTCGCTACTGTAAAATATTGCAAAGGCCGTTGCCCTCGTATTCTGTCATTGAGGTAACCATATCATCTAAAGTTCACGCTTTGTGCTCCTCAATAGAAGCCAGAGTGACTCACCCATAGGTAGGTAAGTATCTGCCAAATTACTGAATGGCGTGGCGTCTTTTAATAACTGTCTCACACTTGAAAACATTCAGTAACTTGAGGGGTTAAGACCGAGTTTCATTTGACGTACATATATCGCGATCTAACATTAACTTTAAGTTGGATTTTATTTTTCCATTCATATAATCGATGATTGCCTCATCACTACCGTTCGATTCGGATGTATTCGGAGCTCGTTCAGCTCAGTGTCGTTTTGTTTTGGTTATTTCGCACTTGCTTTGGAGGTCGCCCAGAACTGAGAGCCGTTTCCTTGTCTGACGCAATAGGGTTGCTACAACACTTATTAAAGCTGATCAATTGCACAATCGACTTATACTTTTATCTTATTCTAATAATATAATTATTACAGTAATAATTACTTTTATTAGATATTAACATTAACACTCAAATATATTTTTGTTTCACTTGACAAAAAGAGAGTTTCGAGATTACAAAACGTAAAAACA